TTTATCTAATAGATATATGAAAATAAAATGTATAATTGTTATTCTATCATCTATTGTTTATAGTGACATAATATTTGCACAATGCGTATCATAATATTCGAATATGTTAAAATATCAAAGTCTAACTTAATTAACACCCGTTGATTGTAATATATTTCATTTTACTGGTTTATATTTTTGAATTGTTGTAGTTTTAAAATAAAAATGTAAATTTGCATTCGTCCAATTTCGCAGATGCATACAACATATTATTTAAAAAAAATAAAAATAATAATAATTGTTTTGTTTATTTATGTATACAATTCAAAAATAATTTGTTATGTTTTTAGTTATTTGTCTTAAATCTATTGTTAAGGTAATTGATGAGTATAGCTTGCAAATAAATTATGTAAATTGTAAATATTTATTGTTTTTTATTTAATGGATAATCGATAAACCTACTTTATATATGTCACTAATTTATAAAGATAACATAGTGCATCAGAAACGATAATGATAACGTATAGGTCGTTATTACAGATGGTTCACCTGTAGAAGATCAGATCGGTAGGTGGAAAAAGTAAAATAATTTGTATAGGGGAAAAATATTAGCAATAAATTCGCTAAATTTATGATATTTCCAAATATCTGGTAATCCGATGGAATTTTTTTACTTCTCTAATTTTATAAAAGATAGGTTTATAAAGAATTTTTTTGGGATGCTATTATCTCTTTATTATTACAATTACACATAACATCAATAACTACGGTTTACAGATTTTTCGATTATTCAACTCTTTAATAATACTGCAATTTTAAGCATGTTCAAATTTTTAATTTGTAAATGGTGACTTAAAAGGGATAAAATAAGGTATTGTATCAAGACACTTTAAAATATATTATCTGAAATATTAGAAAGTAATGTAAAACATCATGTACATTTTCCTAGAAATTCACATGAATGGAATACTAATTAAGAACAATTCTATTAAATATTTAAAGCGTCTGGAATTGGTGGATGCAATGATTGTATACACATAAAAATACAAAATCCTGGAGGGTCTGGTTCAGAAGTGTTCAGAAAAATAAAAGTTTATTTTTCTTTAAATGTCCGTGCTGTTTGTGGACCATCAATTAAGTTTTTAGATATAGTAGTTAGATGGCCAGAAAATTGCCATGTCAACTTTATATCTATTGGAAGTCATGCAAACAAATATTTTTTTGAAAGCACCAATACAGAATATTTTATAATGGTAACTAAACTTTTAACTATAAAATATAACTTTAAGGGTAACCTAATCTATTAACATACTACTTAGCTATGGTCTACTCAATGCTTGATTATGAAATTTAAATTTACGGGTTTAATAAGTATTGGTTATATGCTCCGTAACACCTAAGCCATTTTAGCTAAACCGTAATAAGTTGACTGTATATACAATATTAGGTAATGTATTGTCGTTATTTCTATATTTTGATTGTATCATAAACATTTCATATTTCTATTGAAAATCAAATAATTAATCATAATTGTTCATCGTTTACGGTACCTAATTGAAACGCATTGTAATATTATAATATTATTATTGGTAGGTATTCACATTCGATATTATATGAAAATATACATTATACTAATACGGAACAGAAAATTTTGTGTGATAGAAAATTGACAAGTGTTTTTACAAAATATTATTGACGTCTGCCGATAATTATTTTTGTATTTCAGTGTAGTGCGGTTTGTGCTAATATTATTTATAATTTAGCATGTGTACATTTGACAGTTGACATTTTAAACACATTTGTTCGATTTGTCCATTTGATTTTTCCAATATGTGTTTTTTCTAGTAGGGTGTATGAAACTAACCATTATGTATGTCACGGGTAAAATATGAAATCGGAGAAATCTCAGAAATGTCCAGGCAAAACACGAACTGCCCACTGTACTTAGGCTAAACATAATATTTTGGATTATGCCATACGGTAAATGTTAATTTTAATATCAAATGTAAATAATACTATTGCATTGATAAACTTTGAATATTTTCTGTCCTCGACGGTATTTTGCAACTCATTATACATCTTTATAAAAAAAATAATTAATTGTTCCTTGCACTCAAATTGTTTATTTCTGGCATATAATAGTAATGACAATATTCCATTTTTGCATTATTATCATTATTATTTTCATAGAATTTCACTATTAATACAAAGCACTGGACTTTTCACCATTGTCTCGATAGTTAGAAATGAAAATTAATTTTACTCATCGATTTCATTTTTTATTTTTTGTAACACCATTTACCCATCAGTAGTTCTTTCCTTTGCTCTGTTTACATATTATTTTTACATTTTTTTGTTAATTTATGTTATTTTGTTTTTACGAATTACATACTACAGTCAAAACTCACAAGTATTATTATTACCTAGTTATTACTTTATTAGATAAGATGTATACTGTATACTTAATATAGTGTAAAGATTAGATAAAACGTTTTGACAACACGCTAAATAATATAGTTAAAATTACATTACCTAATAATCGTGATAAAACTTACTATTTGCGTTATTGTTGGTCACCACAGATTTAACCAATTATTGGTAGTCATAACTAGAGTGGAGGACTTGTAGCTCCAAAAAGTCACCAAATATTGACCTAAATACCTACTCAAAATATTCATTTATATACGAAATAAAGTAGGTAACCTAAAATATGCAATTTGAAATTATTAAAAATAAGATTTTTTTTTTTTTAAATTTATTTCACTTTGGTATATAATTAGTATAGTTACAACTTGCATGTATACTATACCTACTTTTAATTCTAGAAAAAAAACAATTTCAATTTTTAAGACTAACAATACAAATTTAACACTTCGAAACCGAATTCAGACATACCATTTTTTAATGAAGATTTAACTCTAGGCTTTTTGTACAGAAAGTAAAATAAATCGCAAACTGAACGCTAAGTCAACCGTTTAGAAACGCAGAACACTAGAATATATCGGCGTATTGATCACGGGTCGAGAGATAAAAACCTGCATCCGCAAAGAGTCAACAACCATACTATACGTGATACAGATTTAAAATAAACTTAAATCTAACAATTTTGGTTGTATTATTGAATGAAACAAAAACATCATTGGGAAAATATTGATAAAATTATTAATTAAATAAAATGTGCCTCAAAAATTATAAAATACTAGAAACATGCCATAAAAACAAAATGTGCATTTATATGCAAAGTACAAATCTATACTATAATTATGTTAATCTTTGCTAATCATAGTTTTGCCTTAGCATAAAATGTATTCGTTTTATTTTTATTATTTTTTTAATAATGTTAAAAAATTATGCAAATGCTACGAGTCCTCTAGACCTTAGTCATCGCTAAATTAGCCCGGACAAAAGCAAAAATTGTTAACGTTCACAAAAACGTTCACGTTTTCTCCGACTACATTGGGCAGTTCGCGTTTTGCCCGGGCAAAACTTTCAAAACAAATTTCTGAGGTTTGCCCGAAATTATATTTATGGTTTAATAATGTATGCAATTAATATATTAATATACCGCGTCTCGTGGTAAAATAAGACACGTGTTTAGTCTATACTATATATTTGAGGTAGGTATTTATTTGTTCTAATAATTTTTATTAATTTGATCGCATCGCTGAAATATGATTATATTTCATTAAATAAATATTGTAGATTTATTTATTTTTTTTTATACCTACATCAAATTATTTTATTTTATGACAGTTTCTTTCCGTAAAATTATGTAACATTAAACGAAAAATCGGTGTACAATTACTTTCCAGACCAGTTAGACTAACGATGAGTAACGTTAAATCTACGTAAATTAATATATTTTCTTCAGATTTCTACATTTTAGATTCTCAGTGGTCAGTGAAGCAAGGAAGCTTATGGTTTTACAATGATGTTTATTTTTTTTTATCTGTGTACAATTTTTCTAACAACAATTTTGCTCCGATTTACAATAACACTTTTTATAAATCTGAATGGGGAAGTACTGTAAGGAGGTCATTTTTTGATTTTCCTAGAAGTTTTCATAATAAATGGGAATACCCGAGAAAAAACGTAAGAAAAACGTCTAAATAGTTGCAACATTAAACAAATATTAAAGAAAAAATGCATACCTACGTACCTAATTATTTTACCACAGTATGACATATACATTGTTGACAAAGCCACACTATAAAATGAACACAATCGTTGCTTACAGATATACATTAAATGCCCGTTTATATCCTACCTTCCCAAATTCCCACCTACAACATTGGCTGCACCCGTCCCCATTATCCTAAGACAGCCTTTTTAATTCGTATAGATATAGCGCCGATGTGGGTATGCGTTCAACCTTCAAGTACAGTTCTTTTTTTCATATTATTCAAATATGAAAACAATATATTTTTTCTTTAATAATGCTTAATTAGTGAAATATAATAAAATATATCATTAAAAAAAAAAAAAAAATAATAATAATAATAATAATAAACAGTACCTATAGATAAAGAAAAACATAAGTATCATTTATTTTTTTTCGCCTACTATACCTATTACAATTGTATAGTGGCCGGTTAAATATTATAATGATTATAATCAAATACAATCATACTATATCTATTTCCAACAAAACATTATTTTTTATTTGGTGCACCAAAGAAAATATAACTATAAGTTTACAGATTTTGAATTCTGAATGATTATCGCTGATTATCGTATTTATTCGTATATGTAGTCACCGCGTTCAACACTGGTAGTTTGTACACAAACGTGTATTTTTGGAATATTTGTTATATGTAGGTATTATACCACGACAACCTATAGTCGTGGTACTGGAGATGTTAAAGTGGCGAATCCAGGGGAGATGGGTGATCACCTCTCCCCTATATCGTGCCCCATTATATTTATCATAAATGTGTGCCTAGTGTCATTAATTAATTTTAAAGGTTGCCCCTCCCTCCCCGCGAACACGTCCCGGATCCGTCCGTGCGATGTTCATTCAATCAAAAAAAACATTCTAAAACAAATACTATTGCACTGATGCCAAGTCCGCATATTAGTATTATAAACGCACCCTGTAGTTTATTGAAATTCAGTTTCGTCACTCTGATGGCACTTTCCTTTTTCAACGGCACCTGTTGAATCATTGAGAGGAACGCATCTCGTCTCCATTTGTTATGCAATCCGGTTTCGTAAGCTATGATCTGCGCTCTCGTGAGTATTTTTTTGTATGGGCTTCCTTTTTGCATGTGTATGCCGACAAAGTACACGAGAACGACTTCTTCCACTTTATTGACTTTTGAACCCGAAATATAAGCCTCGAAATGGTCTTCCGGGTCGAGTACGATGATGTCTTTTTGCCGTATCAATCTATTGGCCGACGCCTTGATGTCCACGCAAGGTGTGATGTCGGTCATGTTTAAATTTTCTTTAGAAATGGATTGCGCGATCGGTATAAAAGTCGGCACGCAGCATACCGTAAGCCCGGACTGTTTGACTTCGTCGATGGTGCGAATTCGGCGTTCGTACTTAGGTTTGTACAGATAAATCAATTGCATCGACGTGTACACTGCGCTTATGTGCAACACGTATATCACCCACGAGAGAAATACGATTTTCGACGGAATCGACGTGGGCTGTCGACCGCTTGACACGCTGCAGAATATCGCCCAGGAAATGATGAAACAGTGGACGCAGTCGGCGTAAGCGCGTCTCTCCGACGGTAGATGCGAGCCGGACAGCCAGAGCAAACCGGACGTCAAAAACAAAACGACCAACAGCGTTATCCAAAAGCTGCTGGAGAACACGTTCAACATGTTCTGCCAGTACGGTATCTTTCTGGGCTGGGGCGAGTACATGGGGAATCGGATGACCTGTCGCGCCGGCGCGGATTCGAACATGGACGAACGGTCGGGCGACAAGATCCCTCCGCCTATTAGGATGTCGGCCCGGTGTCTGCTCAACTCGCCGAACCCGCCGTTCCACGTGCCGTTCGCCGAACGAACGCCCCATCGCTGGTCGTCTTTGACCTCGTTGAGCTCCAGTTTCACGTTACCGATCCTGCTCATCAAATTGACCACCTCGACGTCCATGCCTTTTACCATCGTCCGGGGAGTGTCGTTCGACAGCACCGCCATAGGCGGCCAGTAGAACGCGGCTATCTTTACGGTGCAACCGTTGAACACGTCCGGTATTCGTTTTTCGAATACACTGTTATCGCCGACGTTCCACCGCGGCACGGTAAAACTATTATTACTGTAATCGTCGCTAGCATTATTGTTGTCCCGTCTGAAAACGCCGCTGCACGTGTCCACCGTCCTCGGCGTGTGATACACGCCGCAACGCCGCCGGAACGGAAACCACGCTAACGCTTCTACGGTACCGCCGCTGACCGGCGGTGCGAGCAACACGGACCGGAAAATGAACTTAACCAAGAACCGCCGAAACACGGGCTCCAGCACCCGTTGGTTCAGCTCGGCCAATGGCGTTTCGATGACCACGACGAAATTCGCGTCCGGTCGCCACGACGGGTGCGTCACGTTAATCTTGTCCAAATGGTCCGCCAGATCGGACGCGTCGTGGCCGACCACCAGGTACGCGTGCGGCACAATGTATTTGTTCGGGTTGAACGGCGTGACGTCGAACTCGTGCAACATTAACGCGGATCTATAATCTCGGTGCATCGCGGACAAGAGTTCCGTGCGGAAATCGCGGCTGACCGCCGGGCTAATGGTCACGTAGAACGTTGTTCGCATCGGGTTGCCGACGTTCAACAGCCGGACGGCGCACCGAGCCAACAGCCCGTTGGAATCGCGTGCGGCCGTTGGCCAACAAACCGCGGTCGAGATCGCAATAATTATTCGCATTATTATTTCGAAAAACGTCGTACCAAACGGAATCATTTTGATCGTTCAGCGTTTAACGTTTGCCGAGACCGAAGCGTTTTCATATAATATTAATTAACAAAACAACGAACCGCCTATACGCAAAGAAAAACAAAGAAAAACAATTTAAAACTATTAATATTTTTAATCCGGGTCATTGCGTTCGGTAAACATTTCGACAGCCGATGCGTATTGCCGACGACGTTAATGAAAGGAAACGCTCGAAAACACATAAACGAAAAACCAAGGGGAAAAAAAATGAAGTTTATGCAAGTGCGATATTGCGTAACATAATGCGCATACCCCCGTGGTTTTAGTTGAGAGTTAAATTAATTTGTCCGCGAATTACATAATAACAATACAATTCTATTATTAGTTTTTTATTTTTTATTATTATTACGGTGCAACGTAATGATTATAAAACTGACATTTTAATTTGTTGTTTTACGGTTTATCAGTATAATATAATAATAAATTAATAATACATGTACATGTTTCACGTATAGTATACATAGCGTATACTTATTATAATGATGTGCCCTTGGGTATTCCACTTCATTTACCCATGAGTGGGTAAACATTTCGGGTATTTATCGGGCATTTACCAGGATGTATCCGAATTGGTTCCCGTTTGTTTCCGACGTTTACACAATAAACACGGCTATAATGGAATACATTTTTAAATTTGTATTAACCGTTTATCATTATCATACTACAGCGGGTATTTTACAATATTATCATGGTAATAAAATAATATTATGTCGGTGTATTGTCCAAAATAACGCAATCCATCTGGGTATCACGGATCTATATGACTAAATACACCGTATATAAAATACAGACATTTTACTAGTATAAAATCTAAGTAATTCTGAGTTGACAGTCATAAGCCTGTATGAATTGTAAGGGAAATTTGCGTATTTGACTATCGTCGACTTTCACGTATTGTGAAAAGTGGGAACCAATTCGACCAGTAGTGGATTCATTGCAAATTTAAACGGGAATAAAATAACTTTATTCAAACGGGAACCAATTAGGATATACAATACGCCCAATTACCCATGAGTTTATTTACCCACCTAAAATTAGAGTAAATATATTTTTAATTTTTTTTCAATAGTACCTGTGTCATTGGTTATCTCGATTCTATGAAATAAACATGTTTTAAATCAAATTATTACAGATAATATCTTTAACCATGGTCATTCGTGTATATTTCCAACATTCATGTATTATATTATTATCGGGTAGGTTTATGAACATTAACCGCATTTTACTTAAAAGTGAAAGTAAAGTAAGTTAGTATGTTAAACTCGTAACAATAAGTTTTGCATGACCCAAAAATATATGTTACCTACCAATAAATTTATCTAATAGTTATTTACTAACAGTTTTGCAGGATTAACTAATAACTGTCATAACTATTGTGCAATAAAGTTGTGTTTATTTTTAAAACTGAAAAAACATAATATGAATTTATTTAGTACGAAATAAAATGTTGTTAATTTTTTTTTATTATTGTTTTTTCAAATTTTAATACTGACAAAATAAAAACTGATAAAGTTAAATACCAGTGCATTATGTTTTTTACTTGCATATTAATCTGGATGACACTCAATGACGGATTTAAGGCACTGCGATCAATGCGGCCGAATAGGACGGCAAAATTGTGTTAAATATTTATTTTGTTTTTATGTATTGCAATTAAAATTTTTTTTCTAATTACACCATTTCAATATGTTGATCGGTGCATTTGGATTTTGTATTCGTTTATTTTTAGCAATCTATTTTTCCCATGAACTTGTCAATGACGATAACGATTATCCTTTAGTATAACTTTTGTTTATCTTATAATGTAAATACAATATTAAACATAATATATATTTATACTAAAGTCTGTGTACGGACATTCAGGCCACGCATATCGATTTCATCGGGACACTTTTATCGTGTCTAAATACACTAATATTGGAAATTGGTATACACGTTTTTATAAGGCTCAAGCCACACGGAATGTTATTACCGCATGCATCTATATTTTAAAAATGTTCTAATATATTTTACTCTGAACTTTGAAACTCAAAATTCATTTAGAATGAAAAATTAGTTTAGTTTCGATCTTGACTTGGTATCGCAAGGTAGATTGTAAAGTATTTAACTATGTCCAATAAAACATTTTTGAAAGTTTTCAGAAGAAATAATAATTTAAATTTTTTGCTCGCTAAAAAATATTGAACGTTATAGTGAAAAAATAACTATTTAATTAGTAGTAGCGATGTGTTTATTTGTAAAAATGCTCGTAATTTAACTTTTAAGTGGAATTCGTTTAGTTTAAATCAACGTTTTTTTCTTTTTAATGCTATGAAAACAGATCGTTTTTATATTTTGTTTAAAACACAGTTCGATTAATTTAGAATAAAAAAATAGTTTAAATATGTAATCCTATCAACGCTGTATTGTACGTAAATAATTTGCTAGTAGCGGTAAAACATATTATTTCCGAGACATTCTACAGCGGTTTCAATAATGGTCAATTTAATAATAAATGGGAACACCAATATCTGTTGGTTTTACGGTTTTTAATTCTACACGAATAATATCGTATGTGTTTTGTATGGAATTTATTGAACCTAAAAATACACCCTTTAAAAAAAGACCGGAATTGACACGGAGCAAATATACTCGACGAATAAACAACTTTTTAGTAGACAGGAAATAATAACTTCCAGAAATAACTGTTTCGTTATTTTCGTTTTTGTTTTTCGTTGTGACTTGATTAAAAATTATGTATTGTAAATATCTAACATTTTAACAAAATATCTTTTCTAGGTTTGGTCAAATTTTAAAAATATTCTGGTGGTTTTTTAATTATTTATATTTTATAGGGATCGAATTTTCTATATGTGGATACAAATGTTTTGGCTTAGCAGAAATATTTGATAATTTAACACGAGATTTATCATAAGTTGTATCTTATAAATGATACAAATAAGTCGTGGAAAATGTAAAAGTATTGAAAGCATTTTAAGTGAAAAATTTTAAAACTATAGCTTTTTAATACATTATTCACCCCGAACTTTGCTTAGAATTGCAAAGATTTATCGTTGCGTACAGATATTAATTAAATAACATGTAATCTACCTTCAAAACTTCCTATCTATAACAGTGGCACACCCATCAGCAGTGCCAGTTCTTTTTTTTTTTATCTTTTTCATTTATAATAATGACTAATTTTTTTGTCCATAATATATTTCTTAATTAATGATTAGAACAAAATAAAAGTTTCCTACAGACAATGAATGTGTGTATAAAAAATAATGTTAAAATAGTTATGGTAAATTTGTATATACAAAATTGTAAATTAAAGGTGTAGTTACCTATTGTAAGAGCCGTGTAAAGGAGATTGTGGGAGCATATCTCCCATGGATCTTAAATATGTCCATAATTTTAGCATCCCCAAAGTTGGTGATCTAGGTGATTTAGTAGCGCTTATGCCTCTACCGGCTATACCTATTATTAAACTTATAAATATTCATAAAAGCCTGTTAATTTCCATCGTGAATTATATTCGAACGTTTTTCCTTCTGTAAATAATAATTTCGGAATCATGTTAATTTAAATTTATCCATCCCGTTTTCACATACACCAGATGACTCATTTAAGTGAGTACACTCATTATCACCGAAAGTATTAACTTTTTCCGAAATTTGTTTTCTAAGATATTTAGGAAACAATCTGCTCTACAATTTTATATTTATGTTATTTTTGGGGGTAAAACCATTACCTGCTTTTGATTTTCAAATGGCAACCAATATTAAAAATTCCATAAATAGATGGAGTATTAGTTAAAATAAATTTGAGTGTTGAAATTGTTTGAAAGTCTATAACCCTATTCACAACAAAAACCTTATTTAGCTACATTGATTACGCAACATATCAGGTGATCCATTTAACTGGGTATACTATTACACTCATTATCTCGGAAAGTATTACTTTTTCTAGAAAATGTAAAAGTGGAATATCTTGTCAATGAATTGACGGAAATCAATCATTTCAACACTCAAATGTATTTTCACTAATACTCCATCTATTTATGAACTTTTTTTTTATATAATAGCTGGTTGCCATTTGAAAATCAAAAGTCGGTGATGGTTTTTTATCCCCAAAAATAAGGGTTACAAAAATTAACATAAAAATAAAATTGTAGAGTTGGTTGATTTTTTTAAATGTTCTAGAGAACAAATTCTGAAAAAATGTAATATTATCCGAGATAATGAGTGTACCCAATTAAATGAATCACCCGACATACAATACAGGACGGTGCCCGGATAAAAGGGAATAAGTACATTGTAACCATTTATTTTTAGATTCTACGTGGAGCGAGGAATGTATTGATTATATAATGATGTTTATTTTTTTTTCTGTAGACAACTTTTATACCAGTAATTTTACTCTGTTCACAATTGTAGGACTTTTTTTAAAGGAAATCTGACAGGGGGTACTTAGAAGAAGTCATTTTTTTAGGAGTTTTCCCAATAAATGGAAAAAACTGTTAAAAACAAGGGAAAATGGGAAAATAGGTACAAATGATACAATATTAAACAAAAATTATTAAAGAAAATATATATGTAATTATTATCCTAGGACAGCTTTTTATTTTCTTATTACATATTTTTATAAATTATAACAATCCACATAGACTGACATTTAAAAAAAAAAAAAAACTGTTTCATATAAAACCTTTGAAAGAAGGGAATAAGTCATCAACTATTATTGTACAAATATATAGAATTAACTCAACATATTTTAAAGTGTAATATTCCCTTTTTCCCGGGTGCCGTCCAATTTTATGTTATGTACCACTATGGTATTATTAATCTGAATTCACACTACATATCAGAGGTAGTTAAACATGAAGGGGGTTTAGATCATCCATGTTCTCATTTCCCTTCAATATTTATAAAAACAAGATTATGTAAATAGTATAATAATTGTTAATAAATTATACTTATTACCCTCTTATGACAAAATCATTTGACGTATCATGTGATTTGTTTTACTAAAATTATGTGACGGATCACTGCACACTGCAGGTTCTATAAATTTAAATACCACGAGCACGTATAAGATTGTTTTTAACGATAATAATAATAATATAGTTACATAAGTTTTTTTAATAATTAGTAATGCATTATTGGAACTCGTTCAAAATCCTATTTATTTGTTTTAGATTCTGAGTGGAGTGAGGAATATATTATTGGTTTTACAATAATGTTTATTTTTTATTTTTTTTTATGGACAACTTTTCTACTAGCAATTTTGCTCCAGTTTACAATGATGACATTTTTTCTGAAAGGAAATTTAACTGAGGTGGTACTCTAGAGAGGACATTTTTTGATTTTCCCAGAGTTTTCATAATAAATGGGAAAAAAACGTAGGAAAAACGGGAAAATAGGTACAAATGGGTAAACAAATCTTATTAAAGAAAAAATATATTATGAATAATGCCTATGTTATTATTTAACCGTGGTATGATATATATATATTATTGACAAAGCAACACTATTAACCGAACTCCGCTCAGAATCGTTTTTTCTTAAGTAATGGTTAATCGTTAAGTACAGATATACATTAAATTTCCCGCCTACCTTCCTAACTTCACATTTACAACAGTGGCCTACCCACGTGAATTTATTCACAGTAAAATTGTTTTAACTTACAATCGAGGTTTTTCGTTGAGAACTACAATTACAATCATAATATTCAGAGTGATTTTTATCGAACAAATACTCTTTTTTAAATAGTATAATATTATGTAATAATTATTATCTACTCATTATACTTATATAATCATTATTGGCGGTTTTAAGCTATGACTGCAGCTTAAATATTAAAAACGATTACACTACAGCAGATTCAATTATTTTTAAATTTTTATACGTGGCAGGAGAGTTTTAGAAATAATAGTCTTCAATTAAATTGTGTGTTTACTATTTTAATGATATTTAAGAAAATTGAATAAATTTAAGACATTTAAAAGTTTATAAATATATTTTGTGTCCACCATATTTTGAAACAATATTGTAGGTAACAAATATGCGTAGGTATAACAAATATATGTAGGTAAAACAAATTTCTTTCTATTTACAGATACAAAAAAAAAAAATATACATCATTGTAAAATCAATAGATCTCTCGCTACGCTTCGAATCTAAAAGTAAGTAAATGTGTTTAATTTAATGTTCTAAAATAAGAAATGAAAAGCAATGAAAACGTTTTTGATAATAAAAAATGGAAAACGAAAAAAAATCCAAAATTAAATGTTCGTTCAGCGTTGTTATACGTTTTTACTTTTTGATTCAAACATATGTTACATAGTTGAAAATATGTAGTATGTAGTTAGGTACTATACAACTGATATCAATGCTGTGTGTGTTTGTGGCGTACTTTCAAGTGAGTGAATCGTAGTTTATAACAGTTACCTATCTGGGTTTTTTTTTTCTTTATGGAAATGATTTAATATTAAATATGTAGATACGTAAATTCCAATCGATTAATCCCCTAACTTACTATGCAATCCATTAATTATCAGTTTTTTCGTGTGATAGTCTTTACCGTGTGCGTTTATCACACTTAATATTTGGTCGTTGCTTGGAAACCGTATAGTACAAAGAAAACAGGCCCGCCTCCTCCTCCCCGTAAATACGCCACTGATTTATGGTATTAGATATAAGAAATGAGCGAGGCAACGTATTTGAAAATATTGTATGATCACGACCGCGCGATTCTATAACGTAAACCGCGTAATAACAATAATGGCTGAAGACAAAAACAAAAATCACTTTTGCTTGAAATCTTTGTCCAGAAGAAAATGTAAAGGAATCACTCCGTATACAGTAGTTACTTATAATAAACTACTCGTCTTTCGCTATATACAACCGTACCGATATAATGTATTATTTATTATAGCCTCGAATAATATAATACGGTGTCCAATAAATTACATTAGTTTATATTAGTATATATTGAACGAGTAAAAGTGTACGGTGGAAAACTTTGGAATAACAATAATTTATTACAGTGCAATATAATAATATTATATCGAGCGAGTTTTCGGTCACACCGAACTCTGCCCGGGCGAATCAGCAGCCCGCGGACGACGCTACCGCCGGTGTCGCCCCCGACGTTCAGGCCGCTGCAGGGAGGTTTCCGTATCGATTGGCGGTTGTTATATATTGCCGTTATTGCGTTACTCGAGCCGGCCGCGAGGCGACGCTTCCGTTTGTCCCGTCGTTCAGAACGCGTCCGCCTGTGTCCATAAGCGAACGTCGCGATACATTATTACAACACCGCGAGTTAACATAACGCCGACCACCCGAGCGCGTCTCCCGCAATATATCACACGATATTTCGATTGAAATTGTCCGGGCCGTCTCCACAGAGTAAAATGTCCAGCGAGGCCGGACTGCTGTGCAGTCATGGACAAGACAATATCGGAAGTTCCGGCGCGCAGAATAACTTGCCGGCCGTTTTGACCACCGGACGTCGGATGCCGCGGTCGCCGTCCCGCGACAAAGAATTCGCTATGGGCGCCCGGTCGACTGCTTCGTCACCGCAACAACAGCCATTAGGCAACGCCATCCTGAGCCGTATGTCGATTCCGGCGGACATGTATTTCATAAGGTACGTGGACATTTTTTTCGAACCCTACGCAATAATATTTATGCTGCCTGGATCAAATAGCAGCGTTTCTTAAAAACAATAAGTAGATACCAGATTTGTGTTATTTGTGTTTGTGTTATTTCGACGTTTGCGCTAAAATTTTTACTAAGATTTTTTTTCTCTGAAAACACATTTTGTTATTATAAATACTCCAAATTATTCACATTTTATATTTAAAGATTGTGATTGTTTCGTCCAACGTTACTTTGTTGAATCATTTTTCTAGATTCCCAAAATATTATCTAAACAATTTAAAACGATTGACAACATAATGACGACACGGGAAAAAAAAAACTCGAACAACACCTCACCAGATTGCAGATTACAGAGGTCCACTCAAATCATTTTCTGATTGTAATGTAAGCATTTATCAATGCTTTCAGTATATAAACTGAATTATCTTATATCCTATACCTACCTTCTGACCCTGCAACAGTGGCTTACTTGTGAGCAGAATAAACTTTTTAGAAATTGTTACAGCCCTCCCTCTCCCGCAAAATAAATCCGGGTTTTGCCATTAAGTACGTGTATAGTATAAAGATATTTTAACGCCAAAAATTACGCTGTTTCATTATAAAACATTGTCTAAGTCGAAAATATCGTATAATGACCGGGGTTATGGGTTAGGTTATTATCAAAAAAGAGCAGAGTAAGATTATCGATTATTTTAAATAGGTAAAATTAATATTTGAAAAATGAACACATTGATTCCGTAAAGCAATAGGTATGGTATAATATACGTATATAATAATCCAGCTAGTATGGTAATTGGTAATCAGCGGCGTATTTGTCAAGGAACAAGGTATTAATCTTGAAAATAATGTCAGATTACTCATATTGTACATATTTTACCCAGGTAAAAAAAAAAAATATCTTTTAATTTATATACCTATAATATACTTGTAAAATTATAAGTAATTTATTATTCAATCTGCTCTAAAATCATCATTGCTGAATATAATTATATGTATAGGTGAGTAATTACTAATTATTTACAGTTTAAGTACCTATCTATTTAATATTTATCTAACCTCTTTCATACTATAGTGGTTTGTATATAGGTTTCGTGTTAAGCAACAAAATGAATTTGTAAGTCCTGGTTTTTTCGATATAACTATTATAAGTACCAACACAAAATGGTGGTCCTCTATTGATATTTAATTAGTAATTAGAAATGATGAAAATGTGTAAAGTAATTTACACACATATTTAATTAATATATAATATTAGAAGATTTTTTAAACAAACATAATAATAAATATTAACTAATTATCCTATTATATGTATGAAACCTGTACGATTCGACAAAAACAAATTTAATCCTCAAAAAGTCTAATTTGTATTATGTTGACCTGATTATATTTTTGTTATTATTATAGATATATGCATAAGGTTATGAACTTAATAATTCATGCCTTTACCAAATTTTTAATTTTTGTACATTCTACAACTAAAAAATAATCATTAGTTTGATGTTATTATTTTATATCTATACCTACAAGTTTAATATACGATTATATGTACATAATATAATTTTGTGTCAAATATATTTTTCAAGTTTGTCTTCCAATATTAATACTTTAACCATAAAAAACAAACTAACAACTTATTCAATAATATTATTAAATATGTCAGACAAATTCTAAAACTGGGCTCAATTAAACAGAATATAAATGTTCGAATAACTATTATACCGATATAAGTAATAATGTTTTGAATAAAACTTATAACTTCTATACATACAAATATTAATTTCGTTACTTTTGTACTACCCAAATCTACTTATTTAGGTTTATAGGGTATCTAATAATAATTTGTGCTGATAAACATAATACGGAATATTGTTCATATGTTATATTAGATACAAACATGTAAAACAAATTTAATGTACGCTGCAATTATTTAAAATAATTGTTTTTTATTTTACAGAAAGTCTCAGGACCTTACAAAAAAAGGGTGGTTCGAAGAGGAGAGCATTATGATAAAAAATTGTGGTAAACTTCAGTCGATGCTGGGAATGTCCAAGAGTTTCAGTACAAGTGATATTACTGGAAATTTGGACGAAGAATGCGATTGGATCACGGAACTTGAAGACATTCGTATGCCGAATAGTTTATCCGAAATGGATATCAGCAAATTGGGCGTCACATCGGAATTGATGTTAATAAACAAAACGTTACAGGGTAGATTTAACAACGTATCGCGAACGGTGTCCACATGCGCAGTGGTCGACGATTTGCCCACCATGTCGCAGTTACCATCTCCAATCCGGTACACAAGTTCGACACAGAGCAATTCTACGCCACCTGCATTCAATTCGACCGATCTCGTGAGATCCGTTAATAAAAAGGTATAATTCCATCGATTTTAGCTGATTTGTAAGTTTTATAAAGACTTAGATAGATATTTTAATGGTATAGCCACAGTGACGTAGCAAACTCAAAAGTTGTTGTGAGGCAAATATTTTGTTGGATCACTCAGGGGCGTTTCTGGACCTTGATTATGGGGCGTGGGGGGGAGCGAAATAATTAAATTTAATATTACTGATTGATAAGCAAAAAAGACGGACATACTTTGCACGATGGATGAACCGCTATTATAGATGAGAATTTAGGAAGATATGATATTAAAAAAAACTTAATGTATATCTGTATCTAAGCAAATTTAAGCATTGCCAACAAAAAACGGTTTTGAATGGAGTTCGATTAATAGTATTGCTCAGGGGCGTCTTCGGGTTAATTCCATGAGGGGGGAGGCGAACCATTTTTACTCTTGAATACCACTACTTTGCTCAACTAAAACTTAAAATCTTTATGTCTGATGTCATTTCAACTTATATTAGTTTAGAAGGCTAAAGATGTATTGTACAAATTCAGTAACACAGTAGGTACAATTTAAAAATTTAATTTTTTTTTCCACATTTAATAAATAATAATTCAAATAATGATAATATGAATAGTAAAAATAATAATAATAGTAATTTAAAATTAATAAGTTACATGACCCAATTTAAAATACTTTTATTTTCAGCGGCGTTTTGCAAACGGTTTGATTAGCAATATTTTTTATATTAATGTTTTCATTTCGATGAATATTTAAAAGTGATAAGTAAGGTTTCTTTTTACCACAGAGTACGACTTTTAATGAATCTCATGTTAAATTTTCAAGCATTACTGTTTGGTCTAACAATTTTATCTACAGAGTACCTATACTGAATACGAATTACGTACAAACTAGCGAAATTAAAATGTCTATAAATTGCTCAAAAATGTTATCACGTCAAGAAAAGGCAAATATAAGTTTTTTATCTAAATTTCAATATAAGTCTCTATGAATATTTTCAACTGAATTAAAACAAAAAAACAAAATTGAAAATAATAAAAATATCATTTCGATTATTTTTAATGGATAAATTAGTGCACCGTACTATAAGTAGATTCAGTGATCCGCGACCAAAATGGTTCTTATCTCAGTCATGTTGAAAATCTATAGGTAGTTAGCGTACTTAGTGTGCATTAAATCTATAGTACAGTACAGGCCATTCGTTCATCGTTTCGTCCCACTGAATGTTAATAATTATTTAAAATATTGTGAGTTATATATGTAATCTGTTGTTGGCTATAAGCAAATGGTAGATGTATACATTATTTTCATATGGGGCTATGGATGCCCGTATAAATAATTATTATAATATTATAGGTGCGACAAAATTACATACAACGGCGCCTGCTTTACACGGCCAAGTCATTGTCGCGGTTGTCGCCGACCGAATTAAATCAGCTCAGAGCTTCGAAAAACATATTTGTGCGGGATCAATTACGGGCGTTTGGACTGTACGACGTCCCCACGCCGTCCGTCATCGTTGGCCTGAACAAATATTTGACCGTGCCGAAGCTCGGGACCAAGCTGACTCCGGACGACACGGCTATTACCGTGGACGCCGTAAAACGATACCACCAGCCGAAGGCGCTCGCTCAGTACGTCAAGAATATAACAATTGTCGACTGGTTGACTAACGTCAAAGCGGAAAACGGTTTAGCCCCGGACGATAAATAGATTATTACGTTTATGTGCCAGTATAATCGACAATTGCTACTTTACTATCATCTAAAATAACACTGTGGACGTACATAGGCATAATTACGCATAATTTTATGATTCTATTAAATATCTGCTTGGCTTTATTGCTTGTAGAAAATTAGTCTTATTGTAATATGAATTTATAGGAATGCTCGCGAGGTGAGGTCTTGTAATGATAACTTATTCGTGATTGTTTTTTATTATTTTTTTTTTTTTTTAGATAATAAAGGTACCTTGAAATATATTATTATGTATTCCCAAAACGGATAGTAATAATTTGGTATTTTATTCTTGGCTCTTGTCATTAAATTGTTAAAATTATCATGTAGTTACCCGCAGTAGAAATTTCCAACTGACGTTTTGTCCGTTTTGAATGTCCGTTTTTGCAATATAAGTATATACCTACTTTTGTTCAATAATTTTAACCTACCCGTTATTTTTCATGCTTTCATTTTTGTAGTTTAGTATATAAATATATTATGTTCCCCTACTCCGGTTCCATTATAGTTAACGTTTTGTGCCACTAAATAAATCATTACAATTACAATATTTTACTTAAACCATTTAATTTATGTGTTATTATGGAATACAATATAGAAAAGGGGTTACATAGTTTGATTTTAAATAAAGTTTTTAGATTTACACAGGTATAATATTGCAGTATTTAGGAGTAACTGCTGTATTGTAACTCCAGTTCTCAACCTTTGACCTTTGTGTACTTGTATGTGTGACCCAAATATTTACACAATATTGTTCACACGACCATTAATAGTGAGGGATATGCCTCCCGAACCCCCTTTACATGTATCAATTATGGTATTTAGATTTAAATTTATTTGCATGTTATATTATAATATACGCGTGTTTACCTGTTTACGTGTACGTTACCTGTGTGCGTTTTTAATTGAAATAAAAAAAGCATATAATTTATAAATATATACACCTATTTATAATTGAAAACATTATTTTTTTTATGATTAATCTCTTTCTTGGGATTGATATTGTTTTACAAACCAATTAGTTCGTGTACTTTTTTAAAAATCTTTTTTCATTAGTTTTTTTTTAATGTTGGGAGACCCGGTTGCGTACTCACGAAGGGGATTCGAGTTCAATCCTCCTCTCAGAGATAAAAAAAAAAAAAAAAGAAGAGCTAATACAGGGAACGGGCGTACCACGTAAAATGATTTAGAACGGAGTGTTTACGTTTTTCATCAAAATTTAATATTAACTCTTATAAAAAAAATACTCCATTACCCTCATTTTTTTTTTATTTTTTTCCTGTCACCTCACATGATTTTATCACTTATCTTAATTTTATATTATGATGCTAGTTAATTATAAACTTAAGGTTCACAATTCGATATTTAATATTGGCACTTTACAAAATGATTAATATTATAAGGCACCCTTTTATTTTTCTAATAAGTAAGATACAATTTGTCAATATTATACTACAATATTTATATTATACTCTTGGAATAAAATTGTCCAATCGCTATAATGATGAAAAATATCTAAATACATTATTTTGAATAACAAAAACATGTTAAAATATCATAACTATTATAATGTCTATAAATTATTAACAAGTACTTAACTTACAGATCTTTTACACGTTTTTAAAAATAAAATTAATATTATAGTAGTCATTTATTAAAAGCTGATATCACTAACTCATTTAACTAATATTTGATTGATAAATGTTAGGTATTCTATGAAGTAATGCAATACATAGAAATCAGAATTGATATTATTAATATTATCAATACTAATAATGTTTAATAATTTATTGTACATTATAATAATTTACAATAAAGTAGGTAGGTCAATCAATCAATTTTTTAAGAATGAAAAATGTCAATTATATAACAATTTTATTATAAGACAAATTATCTTATTTTTTTGAATTAATGCTGTCAAATCCTAAACATATAGTAATAATAGACACAATAAAACTCTATTTTATCGGAAACACTTACAAAATGTATTCAATATTATGTTCATTTTTTTCTAATTTTTCTTTGATATTTTATAATGTTGAACAGTGTATAACTATATGCCATATGTTACTTTATAACTGTATGTTTTTTCAGCGTGTAAATAAAAAAAGACTTAAAAAGCCAACTTTTTTATAATCAATATATATATAAATGTAAACATATACATAGGCACTTTATTAAAAGTTTATAGTTAAATAATTGTATGGAATAGTTGGTAATAGCTACGATATCATTTACTTTTTATTAGCTTTCATTTATACAATTTTAAAATAATCATAAAACATCTATGAGACAATTTAAATCTTAAATTATGTTATGTAGTTAGTTACTAGGTACCTATTAAAATGATACCTACCTAGATAATTAACTATCGTTAATAATATTGTTAGTCAGTTACCGGTTAAATACTGTTGATAGTCCAATCTATAATATTTGGCTTACTATAGTTTGTTTAATTTACATACATTTTATAGCTAAACATAGTTATTGTTGAATAGAAATAGATTTAATTTGTATAATAATATTATATTATAAATTGTTTAAATATTAATAAAACTTCCCCTTAATTTTATAGTTAATTTATTCTGGAAATTATTAACTCTGTATATTAGGTACCTATAGGTACCTAATACCTATAACGACATTCTAAATTTATTTAAAATGCGGCCTTAAATTGTGTTACCAATCCAAATTATAAATTTTAAAAATTTAAACCACTCATATACTCAATACAATATTTATTTAATTTTATTATACATGTAAATCTATTCAATTAAATGCATGTTCTTACAAAATACTACTTTTTTTTTTTTATCTATAATCGTTTTATGCGTAGAATATTCGATTAAATTACAAACAAAATTTGTTTATACATTGTATTGTACCTAAGCAATGCTTCGGTACAATACAACTTTAAATATTTTAAAATTGTACTTAATTTTTTTCTTCTCTAAAAATTTAACTAGTAATACTACATATGATATAGTTATTCTGATAAATACATAATGTATAGATTATAGATATCTAATACAGAGTGTCTCACAAAGATGTACCCATTGTTATATCTCCGAAAATAATAAAGATAATTAAATTCTGTTTTTTAACATTACTCATAAGGATAAAGACTATTATTTTTTTTAAATATAGAGAAAAAGTGCCAATCAGCCATGATGATAATAATCAATTAACGAACGTGATTTTAGTCTACTGTTTAATTATTGGTACTTTTCTCTAAACTTTAGAAAATTATTAAAAATCACGAATTTAATGAAAATAAAAAGTTATTTTTTTTAGCTTTTCTTTACAAAAAAATAAAATTTAATTTAAATATAAATATTTGTAGTAATAAAAAAAAAAATTAGAATTTGATTATCTTTATTATCTTCGTAGGATACCCTGCATGTAGGTATTTATATACATATATATATATAGGTATATATGTATACAGGTATCCTATGGAGATATACTTATATATTATATAAATAAATATGACAGATATATGAAAATGTCAAGTAAAAATCATTCATTACTATTATATTTACACAACATAATAAATAAATCATTCACAATTATTTAAAATATAAAGACTTAAGGTAAACTTTTTTTTTTTAATTCCGTCTATTCTTAAAAAGTTGAATTTTCGTTAATATCGAATCTCAAAATATGTTGAAAATGATAATTATATTATATTAAATTATATACTTATTGATAAAAAAAAACTAATATAATATAATTACCTATACTAATAAAGTATAATATAATAAGCTAATTTAATTAGCTATTCACATTATGAATACAGTTTATATCTACCAGATTTTAGGTATATATTGTAAGTATAAACCAAAGCTTATGCGACTTCATATAAAGCTTAATAATTATTAATAATCAACTATTATACAAGATTTTAAAATAATTTTAACAATTATTTCATATTAAAACGGTTTTTCAAAATATCATTTTAAATGGTTTATAATATTATAATATATTATATTATATTACCCAAACAATTATACTACTTATATTATATTATTATTGTACACAAATATACTTATTTTATATATGTATTATTATATTATATTATTATGTATTAAATATTATTTACTTAGCTAATCATAATAATTATAACCCATGTCCTATCTCTATTATTATATCTACTTAGAGTAAACCAAGCTTGTCATTTGATTCATATTTAATAACCTTTATTTTATTATATGTAGGTAGCTATTTAAATTCTAAATGTTATTTATGTGATTTATCTTCGTTGTATTTTTTTCGTGAAGTAATCATTTTCTGGAATGTATTTGTTGTGTCTATCTATTTATATTACAATATATAATACATAATTACCTAATATTGTTTTAGAAGTTATACCTGTACGGCTATAAAGTCATTATTAGTATCCACATAAATTTTGTTATACACAATTATTATAAATTTAAAATAAATTTTATGTGTTTATCACGTACCAGCAAAACAAATTATTGTATCCATACACATATTGTTTTATTCTAATATTATATGCTTATTAAGTATTATACAGTAGTACATGCACGATTTTTTTTTGCAAGGATTTTATTTATATATAATTTCCTAGAGAAGGAATAGCACATATTATAAATACAGTACTATCACTATTATTACTGAATAAATGATTTTTGATGAAATTAAATTTTATTTTAATCTATCGTATAAGATATTATGTTGTTGAATGTAAAACATTAATTTAATGTAAATTAATTTAAAAAGTGTAGTGAAGGAAGACATTTCAGGGAGGGTTGACCCCCTAATGCTCCTAATATTTAATCATACAATTCATAACTTTTGCTAATAATAAACGATTCAGAGTGAAGTGTAAATATTTTAAAATGCCACGATTTTTACATACATTTTTCATCAAATTTACTTTATCAAAATATGTTTTTAAAAAAATCGTGATTACGGGTATTTGGTATTTTCAGGTAGGTACTATCATAAGGAAATCTGATAATACACCTTGTAATAAATTTGTAAACATTTTTTGAAAAGCAAAACAAATTTATCCATGACATTATTTTACTTAGATAATATATAATTATCATAATGTAATGGAGAACATTATATAAATGGAACTATATACGTAAATAAATATAATAAAAACTCACTAAATTAACAATTTTAAATATCTTGGTATATAAATAGTATGAATAGCTTAAGAATTGCCAGATTATTATGAAAATTTGACTTTTTCTAAAAAGAGTTATTATAATATAAGTATATTCGGTGAACATTTCAGTTTCCAAAGATATTTCTAATTTAGTTACAACAAAATCAAAATCTAAAATAACAGAATACGTTATTGCGTACATTTTGATTATCAGTGCAAAATTTCTAGTAAAAAAGTTTTTTACAGTCGCACACACACAAAGTATAGATAGTAAACCAACTAACCGACCAATTCGCTAAACTCAGAATCTAATGATCGAAACTGTTGCGTAAAAATATTCTCGTTTTTCTAACGTTTTTTCCTGTCATTAAAAAAAATGTAGAAAGTAAATTAAAAAATAATTAACACGCTTATGGCACAAACAAAAAAACAGCTTTTAATTTAAAATTCAGATTACTCATTTCCTATGCCTATTATGATATTATGACTATAATAAAATTATAAATATAGTGTACAGTATTCTCCAATCTCAATAAACGTATTATAATATTCATGATAAAATAAATCTATGATAAAAATTATTTTTTCATGATATTATTATAATACTCTCCAAATAGAGAAGTAATCCGCATAATTATTAATAGTTGATAACCTTAGAAAATTAATAATAATATTCGGTAGATTGCATAGAGAGGGCAAGTTGAATGAGTGGACTGTGGCATGTTTTCAAATTTCACCTGGTTAATATAGAAACATTATCCTTTATGAGCATACCTCATTTCACAGATAAACAAAGATCGATCAACTAATCGAGTGTTGCTTCTATATTGCTCGTTGGTAATATAATTAATTGAAATTTGAATTGACTTTCTTTTAAGTTTGATAATAGTATCAGACAGGGGTGTATCCAGGAATTCTTTATGGAAGGGTCATCATTTTTATTTTATTTGTTCTCTATTAATTATAATTACAGTTAAATTCGTAAAATTATAACCAATAGATTACTATTAATACCAATAGTTATACACACAGCGTCATACACCTACAATACACACATTTATAGAAGGATTTACTATATTTATGGGGGTCCTGATCCGAAATCCTCTCCTTGGGAAGGTTATCTGCGGACTTGTATCAAATTTAAAGGAAAGAACATTATCTGTGTTTGTTGTATTAACTTAACACGTCGGTTTTTTCGTTATTCAAATAAAATACCTAACCTAATAGGTATATAAGTATGTAAAATATCACAATTATTTAAAACCTCTTATATGTCACTTAAAAATTTAAATATCGATTAAAACGCAAATACGTAAAACATGGATATTGTTCTTCACTTGAAGTTTAATAATAGGTCATATCACTCTAATATTAAGCACAAAATTATGGTTCTGTATATTAAACGCACGCATTTATATTATAATATAATATAATATTACTATTGTGCGTTTGAAAGGCTACAAATTAATACTTCATAACGAGCGTCCGGGGATTTGGCCACAATGAACCTTTTTTCAAAAAGGTATACGGTAATTGGGCCATTACTTTAAACGATTTTTATTGTTGAATTCAATAATTGGGCCACTATATTTTAATACATTAATAGATTTGACAAAAGTCAAACCACTACTTAGCAACACTATTTTAAACCAAATTATAATAGTTTTTCCACGATTACAAATTTAAATTTCTTATGTTCGTTATAGTCGATTTATGTTGACGGAACTTTTGAATACAGTGCAAAACAATATGTATCACATTATTTTAAAACAAAATTAATAATTATTTGACCAATTTTATATTATGTACATTAATATATTTGTATATTATGCAAAATTTACAAAAATATTGTTTTCGAAGCAGGTGGAGAAAATATTGCTTGATTCCCAACTGCCCATCATAACTCTACGCCCTCGTAGATACGAAATTTACTTGAAAATACAAAGTTTATACGTGTATAGTATATACTTACTGATATTTCGAATCCCATAGTAATTATAAAACAATTAAATGCTTGTAATAATAAGTGCATACGTGCATACAATATTCACAGTGGCGAGTACGTAGGGGGAAGGTTGTAATATAAGTCCAAAAGCTTAAAAATATAAAAAAATATAAGTAATTTAATATCGAAATGCGTATATTTCAGTCAGATTACGAGGAAAAGCTTGATGTATTCATTAGAAATTGGCTTTTTTTTAGGATCCGGCTTTTAAATTAGGTATCAACCCCCATAGTCGAATTGGGTAGAAAAGAAAATTTTACGATATTTATTTACTACATTCCCTCCTATTGAAAATTCTCGGGCACGCCACTGAATGTTGATCACCGTCGGTAAACACATTGTTATTATTATTACGTATGTGCGTATAATTTAGGTAAGCACCAATATATTATTGCAGTGTTGTGTTCTATACCGTAACGTCGCGCGTCGAGCGTCGCCTGTAGGTGTTCAATAACGTGACAAAATATCGAACAATGCACGTTAATATGGATAATAATATCGTAATAGTCGGTGGGTACTCGTATTATTACGATAGATGTTTATATTTATATACAGGGTGATTTTTTTTATCATGAACCAGCAATTCTCTCGAAGGATTTTAAGTGAATTTGATTTCTGTTTTTTTTTTCTAATCATTATAGAATCGGTTAAGCTTTATTGTAAAACCATTTTTAATTTTTTACCCCTACTTCATGTACCTTAAATAAGTATGTAACTTTTGTTTTTAAAATAGAAGCCCCCCTTTTTGAACACGTATTTGAATAGGGAATATTTTTTTAGAAATTTTGGTATGCGTAACACTAATATCAAATTTACTATTTATGAGTTATCATCATTTAAAATTTAGACTGGAGGATGGGAGAGATAAGGGTAATAAATTGCATAATTGCACTGTATGGTTTTAAAATAAAGCATAACCGATTCTATATGATTAAAAAAAAAAACATAAATCAAATCCATTTAAAATCCTTCGAGAAAATTACTGGTTCATAATAAAAAAAAAATCACTTTGTATATATTATACAGAATGTCCCACGAAGATATTTACCCATATTAATATCTCTGGAGATAATAAAGAGAGTCAAATTATGTTTTTTTTTTTTATATTAATCGCATGGATAAGGACTATAAATATTTATACTTGAACTAAATTTGTATGTTTTGATAAAAAAAAACTCGAAAAAATTACTTTTTGTTTTATTATTTTTGAAGATAGCCTATTTACTGTAGTTTATTCTTCTGACAATATTCACGTATCCACTTTTTACTATCATTAAATTCGTGGTTTTTAATAATTTTTTAAAGCTCAAAGAAAATACAGTGTACAGTTAATATTAGCCATAATTATAATAATCAATTAGCAAATGCGATTATAGCCTGTTGTATAATTATAGGTAATTTTCTCTGAATTTTAAACTATTATTAAAAATCACGAATTTAATGACAATAAAAATTTGAAACGTCAAAATGTTCAAATTAATAAACCTTATAAAATGGCAATCTTCAAATTTTCTAATAATAATAAAATAAAAGCAATTTTTTTTGGTTTTATTTATCGAAACATACAAATTTAATTTAAACATAAATATTTTTAGTCCTTATCCTTGCGAGTAATATAAAAAAAAAAAAAAAACAAAACAGAATTTGATTATCTTTATTATCTCAGGAGATATAGCAATGGGCTTATCTTCGTAGGCTATTCTGTATATATATATATATATAAATATGATAAATATGATAAAATAAATGTTATGCAAACAGTGTATTTATGTATATATAAAAAAAAAAAAAACAGACACGGTAGGTAGGTATGCTATAACAATTCGATAATAATATTATTGTGGTCGTTTCTACGGTCGATTTGCGCGTCCCATGGTGACGTTCAAAAGAAAACTCGGGGGTAATTTTGTTTTTCGGACGAAATAAAAATCGATAATATTTTTCGGGTGAAATACGCGGAGGGGCCACATCTTGAGGGGCGGTGGTTAGTTTATCGACCACTTATTTCATGGCGCTGTGGGGGCAATGGTTAGTAGAAGTAACCACTAATAAAAGTATTTTTCTTATTTTGAGTGTGTTAACCCCATAATACCATATTGCATACACACACCAATACAGCGCGCTGTTGTTTCGTTTTTTTTCATTGGCTGTGCCTGCCCCTCAGACAGTTAACAAATGATATTGTATTGTATCCGCGCGAGATTCGTGTATATAGGTATATATAAATAGGCCCGTAACGATTTATGCAAGCGGGCGGCGATGATGTAAAATCAATCAGTCAGTGAAAATCGCGCGAATGCCCGCACGCGGAAACGAAAACAAAAAAAAAAAAAAAAAACCTAGATTATAATATTATCATGACTGCGAAAAACCAAGGCATTAACGAGTTGGAAAGTCAAGAGTCGATTACATTGGGCGAATTTACTCGCTGCAACCAAACTCGCTCATGAACCTAAAAATCAAGTTACTCTCGACTGAGTTATGCAACAAGTCACTTTTTTTCCTTATATAACCCCCCCCCCCCTCTCAAAGTTTGACCTTATATATATTTTAACATTACATATTTTTATTTTGTCAAATTATTTTTATAAAATAATAATAATTATCTGAAATATCAAATATTATTTATAATGTAATACCATATCACTATACTAACATTACGTATTCTTAATTTATAAGTCGGTTCTATGTATCAAATTGCGGACTGTCGATGATAGTGTGTAGGTATCAAAATTGGTAGATATTAATAGCCATCGAAATTCATATAGACGACTGCGCAAATTTCTTATATTTATATACACACGACACCGCATGATTTTAAATGAAACGTTGCCATTCAATTCAAAACGCAGTGTTTTTTTACGATAGCCAACAAATCTGTATTTGTATAAAATAATTAAAAATATTATTTTACACTTATTCGCAGAATATAGGTGTAGTCGTCTGATAAATATTAAACGGAAAAATCATAATATGACAATAGGGGTAATCGTATTATGTTTTAGTCACTATTGAGAAAATAAATGCATTTTACATATTTTAATTCAACGTATTTTTTTGATTTTCCGGGGGTTTTTAAAATAATTGGGAAAAATCGGAAAGAAAATTATAAGTAAAACACGTTTTAGTATTTACGGCGCGCTAACGCGTTACCGTTTTCATTGTTTTTATTATGTTAGTACAATGTTTTCTACCAGAAATATTACTAAAAACTATAGCTACTAAAAGTTCGTTTTTTTAATGTATAAAGTATTTTTCATAATAATATGGAAAAACCAAAAATGACAAAATGTACAATTTTTTAAATTACGGCAAACGATTTCATTATTTTAATTGCTTACGGCTTATGTTTTCTACCTTTAATATTGTTCCAATAGATAAACAGCAAGAACAATTGTTTGTTTCGTTTTTGATTTAGTTAATTATTAGGTAACTCGTTTTTTGATTTTCTGGGTAGTTTTTGTAATAGTTGAGCAAAACCGAAAAATACATACGTGTAGAAAGTACGTGAAAATTTACGAAAATAATTATTTTATTGTTTTCCATTTTGTCGTATATTTGCTTTTTCTAGACATAGTAAAATTATCAAAAAATTTGAGCCATTTTTTAGTTATTTATAGACATTTTGATTTTGCGTAATTTTTATTCGATAGGTACTCTGTGGATACAATTATTAAACTGAATGTTTGAAATGTTTGGACATTTGATAGCAGGTTTATTACAAGTCGTACTTTTATAGTTTAAAAAAAAAAAAAAAAAAACGAGTGTTATGTAGTATTTTTTTTTTCTTAAGAGTATAAATCAAATTTTGATGAAAATCGTAAATATCTTTTCAAAACATGCAGTATAACCGAACTTCACTCCGAATTGTATTTCGTTAGCAATTGTTTATCGTTTGTTACAGGTATAAATTAAATAACTTTATATATTTCACCTTCCCAACTACTTATCCACTACAGTGGCTGCGTCTTTCCCCAGTATCAGCTCTTTTTGTTTATACTTAAGGTGAAACAGAAAAAATGTAGGACTCACCTGCGCAAAACGCAGATTTTTATATTATGCCCTATAGGTACAAAATTTATTCACAACTATAATGTCGCCAATCGTACTCACATCGGGGAGGATTGTCTTGCATTTGTTTGATTTGTACTAACTACTAGGTAAATCCAACAACGCTTTAAATTTTATGTAGAACAATATATACATTTTAAATTGCAATACATAGACTTTAATAGGTTATCGTTTAAGGTCTATGAAAAAATGACTTTTAATAGTTCATAATTATATCTTTTAATTGTATTAAGCTATTATAGTTTATCACTTATATACCTACTGTAGTATAATTCGAGATAATAAATAATTATAATTATATATTAAGTACCTATCTAAAATAATAGCCACAGATTTGTGAAATTTTCTAATTCTATCGACTGTTTTATTATTCAAGATTTAATTTAATGTGCAAAAAAGTCGAATGTTAATAGAATGTAGGTAATATTTTATTAATTTTATCATACATTGTAATGCATATATAATATTTTAAATATGTACCTACCTATTTACTTACAATTTTCATAATATCAAATAAATTGTAAGAATATTAGCTGAATTATCTTAGTTAAATGAGTAAATAAACATTTTCAAAGAAAAATGTATAATTAACAAATGTAGAAGTTTATTTGTTAAATTTCATACCTAGTAATATACTAGGTAGTAATATAGTTTTAATATTCTGCTGGCATTACATTTTTTATTAAACTACCTTGGTACGATATGAAATAGACATGAAAAATATTGTACTACATCACACAATTTGAAAGTCTGTAACCCTATTCACAACAAAAATCTTATTTAGCTACATCGATTACGCAACAAATCAGGTGATCCATTTAAGTGGGTACACTACTACACTCATTATCTCGGAAAGTATTAACTTTTTCTAGAAAATTTAAAAGTGGAATATCTTGTCAAAGAACTGACGGAAATCAAACATTTCAACACTGTTATGTATTTTCACTAATACTCCATCTATTTATGAACTTTTTAATATAATAGCTGGTTGCCATTTGAAAATCAAAAGTGGTTTTTTACCCCAAAAATAAAGGTGACAAAAATAACATAAATATAAAATTGTAGAGCTGCTTGATTTTTTTAATTGTTCTAGAAAACAAATTCCAAAAAAAAAATGTAATACTTTCCGAGATAATTAGTGTACCCACTTGAATGGATCACCTAGTACACCATCAAGTTCGCGTGAAGTATTATAAATGCGTGTATATAATTTACACGAATAAAGGGCATCTCTGATCTCGTGAACTGAAATCTTAATCAACATTCAACATATTATTATTATTCGGTTACCCGCCCGCCCGCATCCATTTTTAGTCATGAGGCGATCGTCTTAGAAACACCTACTTCAGCACGCCAATAAGTTGGTATGTAAAATTATATTACCTACCTTCTATATTATATTATAGAATGTAGTGTCGCGTAAGCATGTATGATTTTTTTTTTTTTACATATATACTCGTATAATTAGTTTCACGGAATTATTTATACTATCTATTGCACGTGTGATCAGACATAATGCAACCGTATCATTTTTGTCGGTCGGGAAGTATTGAAATACCTACCTTTATTATAATATATATAATATTATATTGCAATATAATAATATACAGGGTGTCCCACCGAGTAATACGGATTTTTATATCTCTATTAATAGGTATTCAATTTTCTTTCTGGGTTATGGGGGCACAGCGTCGGGTTTAGCTACAAGCAGGTGATTAAAGCAGCAACATTTTAAGGACTTCAAATCTGGCACTCATCAAAAAAAAAAAAAAACAGACGGACATACTTCGCACAAGGTGTGGGCCACTGTTGTTGGTGAGTAGGTTAGGTTAGGTTAGGTTGGGAAGGTTGGGTATAGATGGGAATTTAATGTAAATCTGTACGCAACAATTAATTTTTGCCAACGAAAAACGATTCTGAGCGGAGTTCAGTTATACATTTTTAAAAAGGTCATTTTATTTAAGATTTTCGTTAAAATTTGATACTAAAATTCTTTTGAAAAGAAAAAAAATATATTAAAATCAAATTTTTCTTGTTGACCACTAAGTATAACTCATAATGAACCTTCTATTTAAATTGTCAAGCATTTCTGTTTGGTCAAACAATTTTATTCACAAAGTACCTACCGAATAAATACTAAGTAAAAGACTCGCAAAATTAAAATGTCTAATTAAAAATTAAAAATGGCTTAAATATTTTGAAAGTTTTACCACGTCTAGAAAATGAAAATATAAGTTTTCTATCAACATTTTGAATTTCTATTTTATATTTTAAACTGAATTACATTAAAAAAACAAAATTAAAAATAATAAAAAAATTATTTTCGTAAATTTTTCTGTTCTTTCTACGTTTTTTCCCGGATTTCCCCATTTATTGGAAAAACTCCATGAAAAATCAAAAAATGACTTTTGTATAGTACCACACAAGGAAAATTCCCATTCAGAAAAGGTACTATACTTGAAACTTAGCAAGATTCCTGGTAAAATATTTGTACATAGTAAAAAAAAAAATAATTACTTCTTTTTAAAACCGATTGGATTTTAACACTCAGAATCTAAAAGAAAAAAATATATTTTTACTTTTTTCAGATAATAGTCAATTTTCTCTGAGAGTTTTTTTTCAATATCGCATTCCGATGATTTTTATACAAATGTGTATAATATTCACTACAGACAAAAAACGCTATAATTTTTTAAATCTAATTTAATACATTGATAAAAAAGAAAAAAAAAATCTCTGAAACAAAATTTTACATACTTATAAATGAATTTTGAAAAATATTTACTTCGTACTGGTACTATACTCCTCGATAACCTCGATTATCGATCAGAATTTCAGATGAAACACACGTTTCACATCTGATTGAAAGTCAAGGAACACCGATTTATATTAAAACGCAGAATGCTCTATCACGTGATTTTAAATTATTAAAATAATTATTAGTCAATAATATAAACATTAAATATATTATATTAATGCAGTTATAATTATTACAAGTATTAATAGGTAGGTACTATTATATTCAATATGAGTGATTTTTCGCGTAGCGTGATTTTTTGTGTTAAATTTATTACAATTTATTATAAATGAAGAACAAAAATAAATTTAAAAAATATTAGTTGTTATTAAAATTGGAACAAAATTATGAAATGGACAAACAGGAAACAATGAACATGAGCAATTAATGTTAAATGGAAAAAAACCAGTACTTATGGCTAAATGGTGATAGCACCACATAGTCATAGATATTTAATTGTGATAGGTAACATATTTTCATCGTTTAGCGCACCGTTTAATTTGTTGATGAATTGTCCGATGCATCAAGAAGCAATTAGATTATTTAGTATTAATTATTAGAATTATTAGATTATAGTATTCGTAGTATCGAATTTGATAAGAATAATGGTTTATCACTGTCTTTATCATATACTTTAAAATATCTAATAAATAATGATTTAATGAACATTACATTTCTCTATACTTTTAGATTCTGAGCGGAGCGAGAAATGTATTGGTTTTACCATAATGTCTATTTTTTTAATTTTTAATTTTTTTACTACAAACAACTTTTCTACCAGAAATTTTGATGCGATTTACAAGTGTAGCACCTTTTTGTGGAAGTAAATTTAACTAGGGTGATTCTTTAAGGAAGTAATTTTTCAATTGTAAATATTACAGCCTTTCAAAATATTCCATCTTTCAGAATTCTGTTCGAAATCGGTTTTCGTTAGCAATGATTAACATTTGCGTACAGATATACATAAAATTTGAAAGATTTATAATTTATTTATTTATTAGAACTAAAAATATAATATAATTGTCAAGAGGGGGCCTCTCGCCTTCCCCCCTTGAATCCATCACTGGCTTCAATAGTAAACAAAATTAGAGACAATTTAGATGGTTTGAACATATTATCACTAGGAGAGAGATATTAGAAATAGTGCGATTTGTAATAAAAATAAACGAAGGATGAAAGAGGGAGAGAGGAAGAAGAAAAGAGGTGATTGGATTGAAAATGATTTGATGGGTGGTCATCGTTTCCGTCAAACAATTTGATTTTCGTTTCCGCCAAATCTATCTCCACTTAAAATTATTGCGACGGAGTTTGAGAACCCCTAGTCTAAATACAGTATCGATCATCGATGTATGTCGATTTAATTGATTTTACACGTAGTAATTTCACAACACTATAGATATATGTAAATATTTTTATATATATGATACATCTGTGAGTAATTCCTACCTATTATAAATAAATATAAGTATATTTTACACGTAGTAATTTCACAGCACTACAGATATATGTAAATATTTATATATATATATATATATATGATACATCTGTCAGTAATTCCTACCTATTATAAATAAATTTAAGTATATATGTTTAGGTAGTATGTGTGTTATCGGAATTAGAGTTAACTGTAAGTATTGGGACTCTTTTCTCTACTTTTAACTTTTTATAGTCTATGCTTGATTGCTTTATTATAATTAACAGTTTAAATGACAGCAATATTAATCTATGTTGATTTTCAATTTACTTGAATGGGACAGTAGATTGTTCAGAAAAATTAGTGGCCTTTTTTACAATTAACATTGAATATTTAACCTCTGAATAAAATATCATTCTTTATTTCTCTAGATAAAGTTGTTTTGATATTAATTTTTATCATAATCAATTTTTCTTTAAATCATATTCCAAACAATAATGTTTTTTCTGTGAACATGGTTATAAAATTATCACCGTGCCAATTATCTCATGCATCTGGTTCATGGACATAAAATTATATTATTATGATCTGGTATATTAGAGGATTATTTTATAATAGTTTTAAAATAGTTAACCATCGTGTTGCTGTTGACTGCGGGGAGTTGTCGCGACCGGGTGGAAGCACGCAATGGGAAATTGGGAAAAGAAACAACCAGCATCAAAGACGACGCGTAGTGTGTAGTTTTACTCGTATAAGATACCTATTGTCAATATTTCGGCGCCGTTATCAGTGTAAACATACATAACCACGGCATAAACGTAGTGCCGCGTGGGTTTTTTTTCCGGTTGGCGGCGTTTGTAACAACGATAAGAGATTGGCCGCGGGCGGCGGCTGCGTTTGAGCGGTTTTTTGCATTGCCAGCGGCGACCGGCACCGTTTTTCGTTTCCGTCCCGCCGCTTCCCGTCAACGCCGCGCGTGCGTGTGCATGGTCGTGTCGTCCCCACCTCGTGCCACCACGGTCCGGCCCCTCGCCCGGACGTTGGCAAATTTGCGTCAACCGAGTGGGCGACGGCTGGCGAGTGGCGACACGGCGAGTCAGCGATTGTGCGGCGTCTACACGTAATCTAAACGGTTGTATTCACCGTCTGTAGCCGCCCGCTTTCGCCGCCGTATGTTGGCCACGAGTACGGCGTGCCGATTTCTTCCCGAACGAGTACGTGTTCGTTTTTTTACCTGTTCGGGAAATTGATTCTCTCGGATTAGTCCCGTTTTTCAAGTCATCCCGTGAGCCAAAGTATTGTTTCGCACCAAAACTTCATAACATATAAACCAGAACGTTCGCAGTGGTGCAAAACCGAAAACGAAATATTCAAAATGATCGTCAAATACGGTAAGTGCATTTTTTCAACTTTCCATCAGTTTTCATTCGGGGTTGTTTGATTCAACGAGATTCGTCGACCAACTGGGTACAATAATAATTAATTCGCATAGGTAGAGTTACCTACACAATATGGTAACGGAGGTGACACCGTTATCGTTTTGTTGAGCATGTGTTAAAATTCAAAATAATTATGTTATGATCTCAGATTTTTCACAAATTTATAATTGGTATGAAAACCTAGTGTAGAAATTGTGGACAATTTTAACTTAATAAGTTCCATTTTTAATACCTATCTACTTAATAAATTATTTATTATTCAAATTTTATTCATTTTTTACTATTGTAACTACTGCTCCAGTACTTACTGATTGATTTAAATTTTTTTTATTATTATTAAATATGAATAATTTACTAAATTTACCGATTTACATAATTTATTGACAATATTTTATACATTTAACTAGAGATACATTTATTATTTACCTGGCATGGCCGCATGGGAATAAGCGTAGGTACCTAGATAGGTAAATAGTATAATATAATCATATCCCTACTTAAATTTATTTCTGTGAGAGGGGATTATAACACTATAATACTCTACCTATCTTAAGAGGTGACAAATGGGATTGAAAAATCAGGTCAATAAAATGATTATTAAAAATAATAATTGAACACAATGAAATGGTTTGGGCATATCGTGAGAAGAAAGGAATCAGAAGCAATATGATTTTTAATGGAAATAAACATAAGTGGAAAGGAAGACGGAAAAAGAGGTGGTTGGATGCAATTGAGAATGATTTGAGGATTATTGGTGTATGCAAGGAGGAGGGATATTGGGTCAAATGGAAGTTTAGTATGAGGGTGGCCAACTCTAAATAGTTGGGATGAAAGCAAACAATAATAAGAAAATTCCTATTTAAATTGAATACAAGTAATAAAATAATAAAGTAAAAACTAAATTATTTAAACAAATAGATATTGAAATTAATTGTTTGTATATTAACTAATATTTTGTTTAATTAAGTACATTAAGTATTTAAGAAAATTTAATTTTGTGTGCGTACTTAAGTAGGTTACTATTTTAAACACAAAATCTTTTGTTGAGTGAATACAAATCTATTTATAAAAATAAGTTTACCTAGAGAATTGTGGGCACTTCTTCAAAGTTATAATTTTTTTAGTTGTACCATTCCATATATTGTGTAGTTAAATTACTAAAGATGGATTTCAGTTTATATTTAGCAATGTGTACATTACTAACTGGTGGCAATATGTTTGGAAAAAAATATACTTAAAGGTTATTTATCTGTGCTTATATAGTCAATTTGAAATTATCATTTGTTTGAGGAGTATGTCACAGCATCTGCCATCTCTGTCTTACAATTCAGTAAAAATGTGTTTTCGCTTCAGAGTTCCAACAGTATTCTAGTTCCTCATCTGGCTCTAATAGATTAAAAAAAAAATCAGCTCACTAATTGAAAGGTGGCGACATTTAATATGTATTCACAAAGAGAGTTTTTGTATTTTCATTGTCACATTAAAATAAGAACAAATTCAAGTTAGTATAATGGATAGGTTACTTGTGAATCAGCTGATAGATATCCAAAAATCACATTTTGATAACATTGTAAATGTTGTCTTTAATTTTTTGAAATCATTTTAGTTTTAAGTATAGTATAGAGTACCATTGAAACTTCAAAAACACATTTTTGTTATAATGCCATAGACAGAGAAAGAAAATATACGGTGCAATTCTTTTAAATATCATTACTAACATTTGGGTTGAAAAATTGGTGTTGATCTTATGTCAAATTTGAAATAATAGGTCCTAGGCCATTGCCAGACACCAATTAAACACTAAGTTTTGAATACAGGTAACCCTGTATAAAATGGAAAAGATACCAATGTTAAAATAGTGTCATTGTTAGTGTTTAACTAGCATTATATGATTCAAGATTAGTCACTATATTATTATAATGGTTTAATTAGTGTCAACTGCCATTGCAGTAATTATTTATATATGAACAAAAATAAAACATATTTCCCATTTCCTCCCTCTTCTGTCTAACTGTTTATTAACTGTTGCATAGTAATTTATTATTTCAAAAGGGTAGGTATGTTCATCCATTTTTGTATGTACATTTTTAGACCAGTACAGACAAATAGACATTTGTTTTATTAATATTCATACAATGGTTTAATAGTTTGTAACCTAACCTAATATGTAACCTTATAATATGACTCTTTTAATAATAATTAGGTACTATATAATATTCAGTTATTCTGTATCTTTAAGGTAGGTACTATATGAATCTATTATATTATAAGTTTACAAACACATTAATTTATTATAAACAAAAATTAAGCAAGAAACAAAATTTTTTTTCTTCAACAAATTATATTTGATATAAATAAATTGATTATAAATTATTGTTTTTAAAATGTTTCTCTTCATCTGTTTTTTTTTTTGGGGGTATTTAGCTCAATTTAATATAATTTTGTTAAAATGAAAACCTGAATGTTCAGCATGAAATCCTGATGTAACTTCTGAAATTTGTATGGATATTAAAATAAATCATAATGGTTGTTTAGATTGTATTTTCTTAGATTCATGATAATGAATAATATTTGTATTATCTTTAGTTAACTCAATACGAGTATGTTCCTTCAATTATTGTATGCACAGATGTTTTGATAAAAACAAATCTAGAGCCAGTTCCTTTGAATGCAAATATATTTTTAATTTATATATCTATCTAATGTATACAATTACCTACATCAATTTTTAAATAATTGTATCTAATTCTCCTGGATTTTTGGTAATAATAGTGTACAAGTACACTGTCTGTAAATATTAATAATATATACATAATATGTTATCTATATATTTATTAAATTTAAAATAAATTGACAATTTTATTTACTAATTGTGTACCTATACATTTTTATATATAATATTATATTGGTATCCACAATATACCCTATGGTCAAGACATGATCTTAGAATACTTTTAGGTAGAGATGTCATACATGATTTACTAAACTTGTTTTTTAGCAGTACACAATCTACCCAAACATAATATTAAATTATGTTATTATTTATTATATATTAATTTTGTTTCTTTTCTTTTATTATTTCTAAATAGGCCTCCTAGTGAAGCTCCATTTACTTTTTTGTTATATTTATACAAATGTAAGTGATAGTCTTAAATGTATCGTACGTGTTTATCGATCAGATTTTTTTCAATTTCTAGATTACTGGTAGATGGGAACCATAACACTGTCTACGTTTATAGAAGTTACTTATAAGGTATTAGACTATAGGTCCCAAATAAAACTGACGAAATAAAATGTACAATATTATTTGAATTAAATATTGTTTAACATGTTTTTACTTTTAATAAATGTAATTTTTTAAACGGGATATATATATATGTATACACATAGATGCATACATATAATCTCAAAATGAGATTAATACCTTTATAAATAAGCACATTATTTAACACAAAAAAAAGGCTCTATGAGGGAGATCTCCATTGTGCCTCCCAACATAACTATATAACTGTAATTACAGTATTTTAAGTTTTTTTATTTTTTATTTAATGTAATAATATTGATTTGTGTATTTATTCTGGTATTTTATTGTAGATGAAGTAGGTATCTAAATTTTACCTACATATATTATTTTATAATTATTGTTAAATAATTATTATCAATTTTCAGGTTCAAAAATGTTAATCTTCCTTGCAGTTGTGTTGATCATCAATATTCAATCAATTTGGGCATGGGATTCAGATCAAATGGAAGTTTTTGATCTAGTTGAAGAAATGAATAATATAAATTTCTACCAGTTTTTGGAAGTTCCTGAAGTGAGAATTATAACTCATTCATTTATAGACTAATACAATACATGTTTTAAAATAATATAAATAAACTTAAGTATGATTTGATGAGGGTTGAATGTTCACATCAACATCATTTTATTTAAAAACTTTAAAATATGCAATTTCAAATTTAAATATAGTTATTATATTAAAAATATATAATATTATTATTTTTTTTTTTATGTGACCAAGTACAAAAAATTAATTTTAATAGAACAAATTATTACAAAAATATATTTATATTAATATAGGTATTAGATAAAACAACCATATTTTCAAGGGAACCTCGGTTTTTCCTGATTTTCCTATTTATTATGAAAACAGTCGGGGAATTCAAAACATGACTTCTTTAAAGTATCACCCTAGTCAGATTTCTTTTCACAAAAAGTGCTACACTTAAAAACCAAAAACAAAATTGTTGGTAGAAAAGTTATTCACAGATAAAAAAAAAATTTTCATTTTCAAAAAACATTTCTCATTATGCTCAGAATCTAAAATAAAATATTTATTAATTTTGTTTATTTTACATACTGATTTATATTATTAAATGAAATACAATTTCTTTCAGGATGCTAATTCATCATCAATCAGGCAAGCTTTTAGAAGAATGTCACTCTTATTACATCCCGATAAAAATGATGCACCTGATGCAGAAGCAAGGTTTAGAGAGCTAGCAGCTATACATGATGTTCTGCGTGATCCTGTGAAACGTGGACATTATGACAAAGTTTTAAGTGAAGGATTACCAAATTGGCATCATGCGGTTTATTACTACAGACGTGTTAGAAGAATGGGTTTCTTAGAAATGATTGGTATTTTATTTTCTATAATCAGCGTTGGACAATATCTTGTTGCTTGGGGTTCATATATAGAAAATAAATTTACTGTTGTAAGTATTTATAATTTAATATAAATTTATATTAATTTATGGACAGTTAAAATAACCAGTGGTTTGGATAAATATAAATTTAATATTATTAAACTGCATTTTTTGGTGCTATTTTGTTATCTCGGCTACTGTATTTGCTTAATTCTGTTATCTTAACTATCGAAATATTTCCAAGGCTACCTATTATAATCAATCCTGTTTCGACTACTGAAAAATTTATGTTAAATAAATTAAGATTCTTCAGTGTTTATTGACAACTATGGTTACAGGATAATAGGTGCCTAAACAACAACTGATGAAATGAATACCTATTATCATGATGTACAGAAGATAATATTTTTTCTACATTGTGCCTATTACTTACTTTATAATAAATTGTGCATTTATGATTTTTTCTAAATCAAATTGTATTTATAGGAGAGTTTACATTTATATTCATATTAAATTTTAGTTAACCAACTATATACTAGGTAGTCGAGATAACAGGATTGATTAGAATAGATAGTCTTGGAAATATATCAGCAGTTGAGATAACAGGATAATACTGATGTTGGTGACAATATTTTGTTCCAGATAATGTGTAATATATTATGAGTCTACTGACCCTTTTTTACTTTTATTATTTATACCACATTTTTATATGTACATGCACTGAATACTAATTTACTGTTTATTTAATAAATATATAAATATATAAATAATATATATAATCGAGCCAATGATAGACTCCAGCATCCCCTCGCCTTAAAAAAGCTCATTAAGTGAGATCAAACATTAAGACAATGCTCATTTGTTTTTTTTGATATGAGAGGATTCCTCCATTTAGAGTTTGTTCCGCCTGGTCAGACAGTTAACCAGGCATATTAAAAAGATTATGCAACAATTTTAAGTGAAAAAGGCATGATTTGTGGCAGTTAGGGGACAAGTTTTTTCATCACCACAATGCTCTTACTCATGCAGTACTTTCTGTTGGCGGTTTTTGACTAATAATGGCATGACCACTGTGTCCCATCTACTCTATTCATCCGACCTGGTTTCCTGCAACTTCTTTTTATTCTCCAGAATGAAAAGGGACATGAAAGGAATGTCCACCTTTCACCTTTCATGATGTTAAAAACGATGTGAAAAACAAAAGATGAGTTTGAATATTGCTTCGAAAATTGAAACAAAAGATTAAACAAGTGAGAGTAAAGTACTCTCAAACAGCGAGTACTTTAAAGGAGATTAAATGTTTTTTGTAGAAAAAATTAAATAAATAGCATTATACAAAAATAGTTAGGTTTCTTTTAAGTACACCCTTGTATAGTCTCACTTCAAGAACACTGTTTCACAATGCACTTAGGTGTAGGATAATGTTAAAATAAATTTATGTTAAAAATCAATTGGAATATAGGCAATAGAATTTAAATTAAAAATTTGCAATACTTTAAAACAAGGATTTTTTAGACATTGTATATTAATATAACTTAATCAAGTTTATTCTCTATCAATTAATTTATTTTACAGGAAGAGTTACTAAGTTCAAAAGTGAAAAAGCTTAGAAAACAAAAAAAATATAGAGGTGATTCTGCATTACCTCCAGAATTTGATGTTAATTTACCAAAACCTAGGTAGGCATACTTATTGTTTATTTTTACAAATCTTTTTTTTTTACATTTAATTTTTAACATTTTAATATGATTTTTTAGTTTGAAAAACACACTTCCTTGTCAAGTACCATATTGGTTATGGCTATTTATACTTAAATCACCATCATTAACAACTTCAGCTATATCTTTTTTGGTCACCAAATTCAAAGAAAGAAAAAATTATCAAAAGTAAGTATTCAATTAAACTAAGTGTGAAATTATAAATTAAACTCTTAAAATTCTAATAAATATTTTTTGATGTACAGTTAAAAAAAAAATAAAATAAATTTAGATTAAAGTTTTCTCTATTTAAAAGATTGGTCTGCATAGTAACAAATATAGCTTTGTTGCTATGCAATAATAAATAACTATGTTAAAAAAATTATCAAATCTGTTAACTTTCAAAAACAATTACCTTTTAATTCCATTTAGATTTAAATTTTATTCAATTCTGATTTTAATCAAAAATTATATGTCAGTCATTCCTAAACTATTAATGATATCACTTTGCTAATTTTTGTCTTACATAGAATAGATAAAATAAGACATTTTAATATAGTTGTTTTTACTAGGTATACTTTTATATTATGTTGACCATTTATAACTAACATATAAAACAAAATTTGGACTTTAATCTAAATTAACTATCAAATGATTTTTAATATCTCTATATCAGCAATTTGGTTCTTATCATAAATGTAAAGTTACTTCTAAAAATGGTATTTTATAATAGAGCTACATTAAAAAATTATTTGTGTTTTTGTACATTTATTCATTTACTTTTGTTTTTTTAAGTAGTTTTGTAGTAGTGTGATACTAGGACCCCCACTAAATCACTTTTTTCTACTAAAAATAGGCTTTTCTCAGCAAAGGCGCTAAAATTTACTTTAAAAAAAATTATTATTAGTTTTTTTTATAATCCATGTTTATGTATAAATATATTTTGTATATAATTTAATGTTGCTGTCTTTGCATATATTGTTATTATTATTATTATTTGCAATAGAAGAAATATTGCCCGAATATACTTTGATAAATATGTTAACAATTGATAGTAATGGTTCTAATTTTTTTTAAAAAAAAGCACAAAAAAAACATCAAGAATTTTTAAGTTTTACTAAGTTAATTTGTATGGATATTGGTACTTGTTGTATACATAATTGGTTTATAATGCATTAATAAAATTCATTTGAATTCTGTGTTTCTATTTTTCATTATTTTGAGAGATTAATAAATAGAGTAGACAATTATATAAATATTCAAACTAAATAAAAGGTTTTTGTCAAAAAGTTTTAAAATATGTCCCATTTAAATGGTGAACTATAAAGAGTTCATGAGTTGGAATATATGAATAATCTGCTGTTTTCAAATAATGTTTTTTTTAAAATTCATTCCAATGAACTTCTAGGTAAGCTAAAAAAATTCAGTTGTGTTTTACTATCCAAAAAATACAACTGCTATTTGTTATTAGTAACACTGATATTTTGGTATTTTAATAAAAATTTCCAAAAATCTTAACTTTAAATTCAACTTTCGAATGACAAATTAAAATTGTTTGTTCTTACATTCCTAGAACATGTGAAATTGGCACTTAGCATAAACTAGATAGTACGACTTATAATGGATACCATTTTCGAAACAAATAATCTTTTATCATTAAATGATATTATTTCAAGTTACTTAATTAATAGTTTCTTAAACAAATTTAAGAAAACAGCAAAATTGGAATTGTTCCAATGGTTTTATTTTATAGAAAACCATAAAAAATAATTACTGGAAGTGTTATTTTATGTTCAATTATTTGATATTAAAATATATGAGATTTAAAAAATCAGTTGAACAAAAAAAGAGTGATGTAATTTAGATATTGTAAAAAATTAGTGGCCGCTCTGTGTTTGTTGTGACTTATTGTTATTGATTAATTGGAGAATAAAGATGATTCTGTTTAATAATATTTATTACATTTTTTTAATATTTCTAATAATATTCATAATAAAATATGTATTTATTTTGATCTAAAATAATAATTGTGTGAACTGAAATAATTTAATTTATACATAAAAAAAAAAAAAATAACAATTTGTATTAATAATTTTGGGTTGCTTTTTAAAATATTTTCAATTTTAAATTCTAGTGGTAACCCTTGAAATAATAATCTTAAGTATTTAACATCAATTAAATAAATAATTTGCTACTAAACAAATATTAACATATATTTTTTTCTTTCAGTAAATTGAATTTTGAAAAACCCGAACCAGTTATTCGTGAAAGAATACGACGCCGTAAAGTTCCTTATAAGATACCAGAAATTAATGATTATATGAATAGTAATGGTGATGCAAATGGAAAACTTAATACAGAAAAAAGTGATACTCCTATGGTTGTAGGTAGTTTATGGACAGACGAAGATTTAAATGAACTATCACAAATGGTAAATAAATTTCCTGCTGGTACTTCAGACAGATGGCAAAAAATAGCTAAAGCTATGCATCGTCCAGTCCCAGAAGTTACTTATATGGCTAACAAAATAAAACAAAGCGGATACAAGTTACCAACTCCAGATGATTCAATGGATACAACCATTACAGATGAACCCAAAAAGATTAAAACAAGGGCTCCAGAAAACATTGAAACAGGTGATAGTTCCTGGACTCAAATACAGCAGAAAGCATTAGAAAATTCTTTGATCAAATATCCAAAAGGTACAACTGAAAACCGCTGGGAAAAGATTGCAAAATGTGTGCCAAAAAAAACTAAAGTATGTATACATTTTAAAAATATTACAATACAAATTATTTGGAATTTAAAAATTATAATATCTTAAAATATTCAAAATATGCACTTCTATGAAAAACATTTTATTCTTGGTACTATGCATGAATCATGCATGTGCATAAGGATGAGAAAAAATCTGTGACTTGATATATTGTATTTTTCTAAGATTTTTTTCCTCAATATTTCAAGGAAATTGTTAATGATATAAGGTGTGTCCCGTTTTAAATGTACCACTAAATATCTCAGCCCAATAATCTTAGATTGAAATACGGTTTGCTGCAATAGCTAAGGGGTACTGAAGTACACATTTAAGGACAAATTTCAAATTTTTAACTCTTGTAGTATGCGCATGCGCAATACAAATTTTTTTTTTTAAATTGCAACACCTATTTTTGTTACCGGATATGGATAGATTATTTTATTCTAAGTAATTTTGATTCATTGACCATAGTTCTAAACCTAAAATTGAATGAGTTACAGCTTTTTGAAATTTTAAAATAATTAAATTTTTTATATTTTACCAAAAACATTACACGCTTGAATTTGATACAAAAGTAAATTATTTTTAAACTAAAATGAAATGCATTTAAATAATTTAATACAAAATTACCTAAAAAATATTTATAGCTAATTTAAATTTAATTAATTTAAAAATAAATTTACCAACTAAATTGACAATGACGTAATTTGTGTTATTTT